TGTAGTACCAAACAAAAAAGGTCACAATTCTTTACTGGTATCAAGAGTGGACTGTTTTTCCCACCTCTTGTGACTTAGAAGGCTTGGTGGTTTGCTTTGGCCAATAGGTTGCAGCATAGACTGCCCCATGTGGATTGCAAGGTTAGGTCTCAATAGCTTTTTTCTTGTTTCTCTTCTCACTTCAGAATCCCACCAAATGTCTGTGAATAAGCCCTGATTAACTTATTGAATAATGATACATCTGGTCTACACTCTATAGACACATTAAATGACCCCCAGACATGGGAGCAGGGTCATTCCTTGGGATCCACCCCACAAATATATGAGCAAGTCTACTTGAGGACAGAAAAGTCTGGCATAGGCAGAATTGCAAAATGGAAATGACACACAAGTTCAAGTCCTGATTCCCTTATTGGTAGCTCTATCATTTTGGAAAAGCAGTTTAACAACCTGCCAACCCCCATGTGCTCACGTCCAAAAAGATGAGAAGATCTCAAAGTTAAATACGTAAAATACACAGCCCATTCTGCACAGCTAATATAGCCACAAAAATAACTATTCATTTTTCTGAATGAGAGGGAAAATACTTGACTTATATAAAGTTCTGAGCTTATAAAAAAAAATAAGAAGGTCAAATTTCTACAAATAATTTAAGCCCAAACAAACAGTATCATTCAGTATCTAGCTAAAATCCATAAGTCTAATATTTTTGTCACTATTCCCATGTAATTGATACAGGAGTGACAGTCTTAGAAGTGCAAAATTCATTGGCATGGGATTGAAGAGGTCTGTAATTGGTACATATCCCTGACGCTAATCACCTGTGTGAATTGGAAGAGTAATCTTTCCTCTCAGGAGCACATTTTGCCCATATGGAAAAAAAAAGGTTAATCATTGTCCCCAGAAACAGCATTCTATATTTCAATTTATGTTAACATCTCTTAGAGAAACCCAAAAGAAACAATAGATAGCCTCACTTGTTGCAATATCATGGGGCAAAGCAGATTAGCCATGCCTATCTGTGGAAACATGGGACATCATCACCAATTTGTTGCAGTGATGATACTGGAAAGTGCCAAAGACTACTGCCTTCCTCTTTCCACCTCAAGATTTGCATTCTCATTCTTTTGCCCCCACCAAAAAAAAAAAAATAAATCCTGTAAGTTTCCATAATTCTCTAGCCACCATGTTCCTTAATTTCTTTATCAGTAAATTATTAGTGGCTTTCATATTTATGGAGTCTGGACCTCTTTGAGAACATGATAAATCTAATGATAATTCTCCCCAATATGCACACGCACAGATATCTAAACATGCAACATTTTAGAGACTTCATCAACTATGAGAAAGCCACCTTTGCATTTCCCAATTTTGTTTCTTTTGTAAAAATTTCTACCAGTAGAAGATGCTTCAGCTTTTTTCCAGTGCTAGCATTCTGTATTAAAAGATGAGTAATAAATATGTGCATTTAAGCTTAGCATGTTTAAAGCTGAATTCTTAGTGCTCACTTCCAAAAATTGATCTATCTGTGCATTTCCCACAGACATGATTCACATTCTACCCTTTCTATTTCTGAATCTTAAAATTTGGCATCAACCTAATCTCTTTCTCTCCTATCTACTTTTTAATGTATCACAAAAGACTGAAATCCCTTCCTTCAAAATGTACCAGAATTTGCCCATTTCCCACCACTCTTACTGCAACTCCCGCCCCATGGTTCAAACTACCATCATCTTTTGCAAAGAGTATTCCAGCAGACTTCTAACTAGTGTGCACCCTTGTGCCCTACAGTAGAGTCTCGACACAGCAACCAGTGTGTCCAATAAATATCACTACTGTATCAGAACCTTGTAAAGAAGCTCAATTTATTTCATGAAAGTGCCATTTTGGAGCCTCTGTGCTCCCCCTGCCTATAGGACCTGATCTCCCAATACCCACCACTCACCCTCTCCTTCACTCTGCTCCAGCCCTGCCCATTCTCCCACTTTCTCAAACATGCCATCCTGTCCCAGCACTGAAGAACATTTTAGAGTTTATTCCTCAGATATCTTCAAGGCTCATCTGTTTAAGCCCCTCTAGAATGTTATTTCTGACTAAGGGCCTTTGAAAAAATTCCATGACCACGTCCCACCAATGCCCTTCATTCTATCATTCTGCCCAGACTCTGCTCTGGTACTGTCTCTATTCAACTCTGACATTCTCACTCTTGTCTATTAAATTTGTTGCCTGTTTCTCCTTACCGGAATATCACATGTTCGGGGCATTACATGTCTCTGCTTCTTTACTGCTGTTTTACACTATCAAGAACAGTTTATGGTAACTTGGTGGCATTTGATAAATATTTGCAGAGAGAATAACTGGTTTATTTCCTATCTATCTTGACTTTCTTTTTTCCTAAAATGCTATCTACATACACCTAACCTAGCTTAAAATACTCAGAATGAAAAATCTATCTTAAGTGGATTTTCCTGGCACAGTGAACTGTCTGACAAGAAGAAAAAAGAATAAATAAAAGAGAGGATTCATTCCTGAGACCTCAAATCCATTTCAAATTTGAAATAAATTGCTGATATATATCTGAATGTGAAAAAAGACACAGAGGATCAGAACCAGTCATGTTGAAGCACCCCACGTAGAACAGCTTGTCGTGATGCATTTCCCCAGGAGCAGAATGGTCGCTGCTGCCTTCTCTGGAGCAAGAACTCTGTGGAACTAACATCTCTCTGGCACCAAAAAATAAGTTACAGGGACTTAAAATAATGCACTTTACTAGTCTGGACAGCACAAAATAGCTGTCAAAGACGTCCCAAAAAAGGCAATGCTTTGTCCTCTTGAATTTTTTTCACTGTGTCAATGAATATATGAAGTTCCAGCATAAATATCAGACTGAATTTCAAACTGTATATTAGGACCAGATATTATCACTGGATATAATTGTAATCAGAAGGGGTGTGTGTGTGTGTGTGTGTGTGTGTGTGTGTGTGAAAAAGAGAGAAAGAGAGGGAGGGAGACCACTCACATCTGCATGCAAGTTTGGCAAAGCAATGATCCTTTGACAGCCCAGACAAAATCTGTATCCCATTCTAATTAAAGCTAAAGTCACAGGAAGGCCAAACTGCTTAACTTTCCCCATCCCAGGAGCTTACCTGGGTCAGGAAGGTCAGTTCTTGGAAGTGACACACTTTGCTCTCTCTCTTCTGGTGTTTTGGTGTGCCTCTGTTGGACCCAACATATGTACTTTCTCAATAGCCCTTTGAGACTTCTTCCACCCATCAGCCAGAAATAGGTACCTCCGTCTCCAAAGACACAATTAGAGTACACTTGGAATGTGGGGATAATATGTTAATTGGAATATGATCAAGTGAGCAGTATTTTTAAAAGTTGGCTCCTAATGGTTCTAAGTTATAATATAAGCATCAAATATGTCTGATACAGAATTTCTCCAAATTTTACTACTTATGATGTTTTAAAATATATCTAGTATTTCACTGCTTTTTCCCTGTCACATGCTCCTCTGTTTGTCCAGAGTGCCCTTCCTTGTCTCCTCCATTGGGAATCCACTATCCATCCCTGGTGTTAGGGATGAAATCATCTCCCCATAATTCATATGTTGAAACCTTGATTCCCAGTGCCTCAGAATGTGACTGTAGAGATCAGGCCATTAAAAAGATGATTGGGAGGCTGGGGTTGTAGCTCAATGGTAGAACACTTGCCTAGCACATGTGAGGCCCTGGGTTTGATCCTAAGCACTGCATAAAAATAACTAAATAAAGATGTTGTGTCCATCTCCAACTAAAATATATATATATTTAAAAATATGTGATTAGATTAAAAGGAAGTAGTTACAGTGGACCCTAGTCCAATATAACTGATACCTATAAAAAAGAAATCTGGACCTCCAAAGAGACAAGAGGGACATGAACACACAGAGAAAAGACAATTTGAGAACATACTAATATGGCAGCCATCTAGGAGCCAAGAAGAGAGGTTGCAAAACAACAAGGCTGCCACCACCTTGAACTTGGATTTCTAGCCTCAGAACTGTGAGAAGAAAAAAAAAAGTGTCTGTTGTTTCAACCACGCAATGTTGATGGAAATCCTAGCAAACCAATAAATACACTTGTTATTAACACTGTGGCCTTTTAATGTTGGTATGATTAAAATTAAGAAATGGGAAACATTACAATGAAATAGTCTCTAATGCTTAATTAATTGATGCATAAAAAGAGAGAGAAAAAAATACAAACATTTGTAGATTCTTAGTTGCTATCAATCACTACTTTACCCAGTAGAGATTTTGTTCTGAACCTTCCCTTGGATGTAGTTATTTGAAATCTCTTTCTGTCTGTCTGTATTTATGTATATGATGTTCCTGTGTTCTTGATCAGCTGTATCTCCCTTTCTATCTTATACAATTAATAGACTGTTAACCTTGATTTTTAATTGGTGGAGACAATATTATTTTACTGGGAATACATAGTGGCTCTAAGTGATATTTCTTTTCTACTTCATATTTTGCTGATTCATTCTCTCTCTCAACAAGCAACATAAGTGCCTCTGGAGTTGAAAGTTATAGGTCATGATCCTGTTTTCTCAACTATGACCTATATGAAGTCAAACGTTGATAATGAGTCCATAGCCAGCTAAATTATAGTTTAAAACATTATAGATAAAATCATCTTATGAAATGTCAATTGAAAATTCTAACAGATCTGCTTTCTTTCAAACCTCTCACATTCTCAGCAGTTTTATAGACTCTGTCAAGCTAGCACACACAGCAGTTTTTCCAAATAGTCCACCTTCATTTATTCTTATAAAAATATCTCTTAAGTGCCAAATTAAGAAAACAAACACAGGATATTGTTTATAATTATGAAACAATTTTTCTTTATTTCTGAGAGTACAGGCTAATAATAACAACATGGAGAAAAATCTATTGCTGGTTTATTTGGTTTTGTTTTGTTTTGCTTGCCAAGTATTTCTGTTTAAGAAATCTTTGCTCAATTTAACATTTTCCTCAGAGCATTTTTGACATCTTTATTTCTTAAGCTATAGATCAAAGGGTTCAGCATTGGAATCACCACAGTGTAGAACACTGACACCACTTTATCCCGTTCCAGGGCATAGCTAGTACTAGGTCGGGAGTAAATAAAGAGAATGGAACCATAGTAGAGAGTGACGGCCGTCAGGTGAGACCCACAGGTGGAGAAGGCCTTGAGGCGGCCCTGGGTGGAGCGGATTTTCAAGATGGCTGCAATGATGAAGAGGTAGGAGGCGAGAATAAGAACAGTGGGGGTGATGACGTTGGAGGCAAGTATAAAGTACAGCACAGCCTGATAGCTCTCCTTCACATCACAGGCCAGCTTTACTAGTGGGGGCAGATCACAGAAGAAATCATCAATGACATTGTCACCACAGAAGCTCAGAGTAAATGTCTCACTGGTGATGATAGTGGAATTGACAAAGCCACCAAGGTAGGAAGCTGCAACCAGACTGGCACATAACCTTGGGGACATAGCCTGGGAATACAGTAAGGGGTTGGAGATGGCCACATAGCGGTCATAAGCCATGGCAGCCAAAAGGTAACATTCACTGTAGGCCAGTCCAGCAGAGAAGAAGAACTGAGCCAGGCAGCCAGCAAAGGAGATGCTTTTGTCTTCAGAGATGCAGGTCACTAGGATCTTGGGGGCATAGACAGATGAATACCAGAGATCCAGGAATGACAGGTTTCCAATGAAGAAATACATGGGTGTGTGGAGCTGAGAATCAGCACAGATTAGAGAAATCAAGGTCATATTTCCTAAGAGGCTGAAGATATAAATGATGAGGAAGATGAAAAAGAGCACCTGTTGTACCCCTGGATCTGCTGTGAATCCCAGAAGGATGAACTCCTTCACTGCAGTGAAATTCTTTTCATCCATGGATTTGGATTTCTAGGGTCTTTTCTGTGAAAAGATTAGTACACTTATCATGGCTTAAGACACCATTATGTTTTCCCCAGAGTTTTTGTCTTTCTAGAACATTGAAAAAGTCAACTGATGCATATATATTTCTTACTATGAAATGTATTTGCTAAACTGGGTATCCCTCCTTTGGGGAGATGAGAAATCACTTCTCAGCATCCTGGAGACGTCAGTTGGTGTATGTCACCTTACATTTACAATCTAATTTTCCCTCCTATGTAAGAGGGTAATTTGTGTATGTTCTTCTTTTTTTTTATTTTTAAAGCATTCATTCTTTCCTTTTAACATCACAGGAGATTGAAAGTTAGAATGCAGAAACAACATATAGTGTTAGATCAACATTAGCTTTTCCTGTCATTCTATTAGGAACTAGTGATATCTTGACCTAAGTAAAAATTACTCTGAAAATAAAGATCTATAAAAGCATTACTGAATTTGAGAGTATTTTTTGAAGTGCAAATGACTTCTGAAGTTAAAGTAATCGATGGCAAAATGTGGTAAAGATGTTGCTTTATTTTTTATTTGTGCTTCCAAGGCAATAATGGATTACCAGAATATTTTAAAAAAAACAGCTATGCTAGCAGTTTCTCTTCTGTGATTATTGACACCTTGCTATACCCAAGTATTGACAGATCTTACAGTGTTACCTCTTTGTAATTCACAATCAGTATTAGAGATACCAAACCAAGTTGCAGGTGATGAAGCACATAACATCATAGCTTTGGTTATCCCAGGAAGGTAAGGTCAAATGCTGGATGACTGGGAGCACAGCTTATTGAATTGAATTAGGGCAGGTCAAAAGAACTGATTGAAAATTAATTGAATTAGAGTAAGATTTACTAGCCAGTCTGCTTTTTCCTAGAATGTTATAGGATACTTAGTTATTTTTCCATCTATCAACCTCACTCAGTACTGTACTCACCTTGAGCTCCTCTGCCTTTTTTAAAAATAATTTTGGTTTTGACCAACATGTCTTAATTGTACATATTTATGGAGTTCAGTGTCATTTCCACATATGTATACTGCATGCACTCATCAAATTCAGCCTTCCTTTATCTGATCCTTTCTTTCCAACCTCTAGTAACCCATATTTTACATCCAGGATGATTTTTTCAGCTTCCACATATGAGCAATAATATGCAGTACTTGTCTTTCTGTATCTGGTTTATTTTCCTTAACATAATATCTTCAGTTCCATCCATTTTGTTGTAAATGACAGAATTTCAGTCTTCTTTATGGCTAAATAGTAACCTACTCTGGGGGTGGGAGGTATTTTGTTTATCTATTGATGGGCACCTAGGCTCATTCTGTATCTTAGCTATGGTAGATATTGCTACGATAAACACAAGCATGCAGATATCTTATTGGTATGCTGATATAATTTCCTTTGGATGTATACCCAGAAAAGGGATAGGTAAATCATTTGGTAGATTCATTTTTAGTTTTTTAAGAACCTCTGTACTGTTCTTTATAATGGATATGCTAATTTTCTTTCCCATCAACAGTGTTCAAGAGTTAACTTTTCTTCACATTCTCACCAGCATTTATTTTTTTGTGTAATAGATATTCTAGCTGGGGTGAAATTATACCTCACTATGGTTTTGATTTGCATTCTCCTAATTGATAATGATATAGAACATTTTTTTCCAGTTGAAAAAAAAAGATGCCGGAAATGAACCCATGGATCTAGAGTCAAGTGACTATCAACCAAGGTTCCAAAAGGCACATATTGCAGAAAGGGCAGCATCTTTAATAAATGATACTGAGAAAACTGAATATACATACACAGAAGATTAAAATTTGACCCCATTTCTCACCCTGTACAAAAAAACCAACTTGAAATGGATCAAATTTTCATCTAAGACTTGAAACTATGAAATTACAAGAAATAAAAAGGAGAAATACTTCAGGACACTGAAATGAGCAATGATCTTTATGTTATTCAAAGCACAACAAATAAATTTTGAAAAATAGACAATTGGGATTATATCAAACCAAGAAACTTCTACACAACTAAGGAAACAAATATATAAAGATAATAGAAGAAAATATCCACTCTCATCTGACAGAGGGTTAATACCCAGAATACATAAAATTAAAAACAATAATAAAATGAATATACAATTTAAACCTGTGCAAATGGTCAGATTTGTATATCTTCTCTTCTGGTTGTATTTGGGGTTCTTGGAGGATCATGTGGACTACATGAAAATGGGTATTTGAAAGGAAGGCTTAATTTTTCTTTAGATCTTTGAATTTGTCCTTTTATAATGAATTATATAAAAAAGCATAATCTTATTCTAACTTTAATTTGGGACATAATTGAAAATGCATTGTACTTATAAAGTCCATAAAAGGCAATAGTTACATTTCATTCAACTATTTATCCACAAAACTAAGAACAAACTGCAGAAAGTAGAAAATTGAGGGATAGATTTACCTAGATAACAGGAATTTGAGAACTTCAGCTTACCAGTATGACCTCTAAAAGCAGCCTAAATTGAAGTCAAAATATTAATTATTGAATAATCATTTCAATAGTGTGTGTTAAATTTTCTAAAGATTTAATAGTTCTTTTAAAACTGCTTAAAATGAAAGGCTTGTGGAAGCTTGACAGGCTGAGTAATATACCATACATAGTTCCACAAAGATACTCAAATTCCAATCCCAAGAATCTGAGAATGTTGCTTTATATGGGAAAAGATTCTTCCCATGTGTTGTTAAGAGTCTGGAGCTATAACCATGTGATAGAGCACTTGTATAACATGCTTGAGGCCCTGGGTTCAACTGATAGCACATCATAATTAAAATTATCTTCCTATAAGAATGTTATCATGGTGGGACTTGTATGTTATCACCTCCCTTGTAAGAGGGAGTCAGAGGGAGATTTGGCCACTGAAGCAGAGACTGGGGTACAACCAGCAGCCAAAGAGTTCCAGAAGCCACAAGACAGCGGAAGAGGCAAGGGATGGACCCTCCACCAAAGATCTGATGGGGTCTGGCCATGTAGGCACCTTGATTTTGGCTCAGCCATACTGAGTTTAGACTGCTGATCTCCAGAACATCCAGAGAATAAATTCTATTTTTCTAAACTATCAATTTTGTACTACTCTGTTAGAGCAGCATGAGAAATCTCACACAGGAAGTGACAGAATATAGCCTCAGTGTTCCCTTGCCCTCAGAGGTAGAAGCAGGACAGGAATGTTGCCAACATGGGAAATGCAACATCCTTCAAAAGTCTCCTGACAACCTACCTGCATCAAGGAAGGGCTTGATTATGACAGCCAGGGTTACAGATTGGCAGGGCTGCTGAATTTCTTCTAGTAGATTCAAAGCTTTAAAAATACAAAAATAAAACAAAATAATTGGTAATTGTGTTAATGTATGACCTGAAAACTGAACTAGAAAAATAAAGAATTACACTCTTGGAACAGTACATATGTAATAAGACAATTTCTTTCCACTAGAATTTCAGAACCTATATATAAACTTTAATGCTAGGTTCATTCTCAAAAAACTTCTTATTTATAAGCAAAGAGAACTAAAATAGGTGATATTTTGACTGCCTTCATTCCTCAAGGGTGTTAGGTGCTAAAGACATTTTTGATAGAGCATATTTCTGGAAGCAGCAGGGGTCCACAAATCAGGAGACCTGGGTTCTAAACTTAGTTGGCTGCAGCCAATATTAAATAGCATAATCCCCTCCAGAACTCTGATTTCTCACCTACCTTTCTTAGTTCAGTGGGACTTCATCACATTACAAATGTAAGTCTGCAATTTGAAAACTTGAAGTTAAGACTACATGTCGTACTCTCCAGATTCCATGATTTTACTCACCTCAGTAATCCAGCCCTCAGATGTTTGCTTGACCTCGCCAGGATTTCCAGTTTCACTTATACCTTGACTACCTGAATTTCCATGTGTTCAGTGGGAGAAATCACCTTCTTTTTATATGGATTCACACTAATGGGTAGCTAAAGACTTGTTTTCAAAATTCCATTTGGAAATGAAATCATTTCCAAATGCAAGAAATTTGTTTTCACTAACCTGGCTTGCTTTCAACTACAGTTATTGAAGCATAACATAAAAATAAATGTGAATGTTTACATATGTTTACATCAATGGTTTTCTGAAAAAAATAAATAAATCAAAGGTGGCTTAGTGTGGAGCCTGAGACTTAGTTTCTTAGAGCTCACACTAAGCCACCTTCTGAATTAACACAAGTGAACTGCATAAATTAAAAAGAAAAAAATTACATGTAGAGACAGGGGTAAAACCTGTTGCACATCCACAAGTTCTATCCACTACTGGTATGGACCACAGGTTTGCCTAGAAATTTTCTAGCAACCCATAGATGCAGTTAGTATTGTGCAAAGACAAGCAAGTGAACTGTGCGTTCAGGCAACATGTTGCCATGCTTGATGCTAACTTTGAATCATTTCTCCCAAGCTTCCTTGCAGAAATAATGAGGAAAATATGGTCAATACAGAATGGGATGGATGGATAGATAGATAGATAGATAGATAGATAGATAGATAGAGATAGACATAGAAGAGAGTTTTCTTAAGCTCACTTACTTTCCGATTCATTCATAAACTTAAAGTTGGCTGCATGCATGTTGGAGTCAAGAGGTGCTCAGTTAAGTTTCTCTTCACAAATCATTTCTACTCTTCCATCAACAGCTCTCTTCATCAAAAGAATTTTTTTTTCTGCAGAACTAAGGATTGAACCCAGGGGCACTTTATCACTACATCCCCAGCCCTATTTAAGACTGGGTCATAGAAATTGTCCAGACTGACCTTGAATTCATGATCCTCCTGCCTTTGTCTCCAGGGTAGCTGGGATTACAGGTGTGTGCCAATGTACCCCACTGGAGGATGTTTTAAGAAGTAGATGCTTCTGGAAATGATCACACCTTAAAACTTGGCCTCTTGATCTCTCAATCCTCTCCAGGGTTAATGTACCTGCTGTCTGTGTCATTCCTTTTGCTACTTATTAGACAGTTCATCCATAACATACTAATTATAAGTGTACAGCATGATCCTGATGATCATGGTCATATATATATATATATATATATATCTCATCTATCCATCACTCCCATACTTACCCATACACTACCTAATATAGAAAAAGAAACATTCTACATTCAAGAAAATATTGACCCTCTGTAGATTTTCTTCATATGGACTGGCTATAAGCTCTAAAATGGTCTTAGCAAGGTAACTGGAAGGAAAGCAGTGAACCATAGCTACAGAGGGTTTATGAGAAAGAAACATCCACCAGGCACACATCTAATTACCTGTTTCACTGAAATAGAAAATGGAGCTAGAATAGAAGACACCCAGGGACTCTTCCACTTCTTTTTTAGATGTAATTATAGAAAAGGTGAACTTTATTCTTTTTCAAAATGTACAATTATATTACATTAAGAATCATTCTTTGTCCATATTGTGATTCTCTGACCTTTTTTCCTTTAGCTAATTAAACACAGTACTTACTTTCATGAACATAAATAGTCACTTCGTCTGAATTTCAGCTGAAGTCAAGAATTTCTCAATTTACCTTGGATCAAAGTGCCTTCTGCTCAGTCATAGAAATCTTTCCAGTGATAAGAATACTGGGAAACCAAATAAGGTTGTGCATCCCTTTGGGATTCGCTGTTAAGAGAAAAAAAGATCTCCATGTATGATACTGTTGCCAAGTGACCAATTATAATGCTCAGTAATCTTTCCGAAATGAGGTGAGAAGGGATCATCATAATGTATCTAGTGGATGCAATTTGTTTAAAAAATAAGTGGAAACTTTTACTGTGTGAGTTTTATTTATGAATTGCAGATAAAAAGGAACTGGCAGGAACAAAATCATGGGATATCCTATAAACAGGAATGTTCAGAAATCATTGCAACTGTAATAAAAAATTATAATAGGAAGAATAATTAAAAGACCATAAAATTTTATTTCTAAAATTTTGTTCATTATCATTTTCTTTAAAATCATCCTGTTTTATGAACAATAGTATTGAGGGACAGAATTTACTGATTACCCACAAAGTCATTCAGTTAGAGCAGACTGTGAATATACTAATTTATTCAAATAATCTAGCTCTGCAGTGATTTGGAAGAAATACAACTCTGAGACAAGCTGAGCTTAATAACTGGTAAAAGACAGACTAAAAAGAGACAGCATCAGAGTGAATCCCAACTCTGCAAATCACCAGCTGTGTGACTAAGACCAATGTATTTAAATTTACCAAGCCTCATTTTTCTTATTTCTAAATTGTAAATAATTTGTATTTCTCATGAAGTAGTATGTATACAGGTATTTTAACTCAAGTCAATTAAAAATATAAAAAAGAAAATAAAAAGACAATTTAAAAATAAAATACAAATTAACATAAATTAAAAATCAAAATTATATAAAAATAAATAATTACACAATTTTTAAAATAAAAGGAAAATAAAATACATATGTAAATTGCATATACATATGTTTACATATAAGTACAGGGACAGAAAAAGCACTTGCCCTTGTAAAGTTTACAGCCTCATTAGAGTCAGTCAAATAGTCATACAAATTTAAATTATAAATCATGACTGTCATGTGGAGAAAATAGGGTGTCATAAGATTGTATTAGAATATAAGATGCTTTGTGGGTGATTTATCTACAAAGGTAACATTTTACCTAAGAATTGAGGAATAATCATTGACTAGTCAGATTGGCTAATGAAGGTAGTGATTTCAGGCTGTGGAAGTTCAGAGTATGGGACCTTGAAGAGATAAACAAAAGAATATTTAAAAAGGCAGGAGAGATTACAAGGCCAGATAGCACAGAAGTTGAGTAGACCATTTGAATGATTTTGTCGAACATTCTCTGTGCATTGGGAAGCCATTGGCAGATTTTACTCAAATTCATGGTGTGGTTAACTGAAATGAAAGTAAAACTCTCTGGGGCTTGTCATATAAAGCCTTTACAGTGTTGAGGTAAATTCTTCTTTTTTTATATTTTGGGGGAATATTTATTCACATAATTTTGCTTAATACATTTTTTTCTACACAAGGCTCAATTTAAAAGTCTCTAACATTTTCAATAAGAGTAATAACGCATTAATAAATTATAAATTAACAAAATCTTTGTATTTGCTTTAAAACGTCATTTATCAAATGTTAACTTCCAGATTATCTGGAAAATTAAAGATGTGAATTGCTATAAATCTGACATCCCAATTAAATCCTGATGTTTAAAGGTATATAAAATACCCCTCAAATTATTCCAACTTCCACTCCAGAAATTTCTGTTTTACTCTTTTCATAAATTTTAAGCTTATGCCCTGCTATACATTTTACCCAAATGTGGGGAAACTGCCTGGAGATGCAAAGTACAATAAAATAATTACATGAAAAAAGAAAAAAATAGCCGTTAAAACAAAGTTATTATAGCTGGCAGAGGTAAATTCTTTCTATTCCTAGTTTCTCTAGTGTTTTAAACATGAATGAATACTGGAAATTTTGTCAAATGCTTGTTCTGCATCCATTGAGATGCTCATGTGATACTTGACCTTAATTATTGATGTTGTAAATTGCATTTATTGATTTGCATGTTCTGAACCAAGTTTGCTTCGCTGGGATGAGACCAACTTGATCATGAGGTACTATATTCTTAATGTGTTTTTTGAATGTAGTTGGCCAAAACTTTATTAAGGATTTTTGAATTTGAAAAAATCCAACATGCATTCGTGTGCTTTTTATGCTAAAGAAAATAGGGATGGAAGGAACTTACCTCAGTATCATAAAGGCTACACATAACAAACCCAAGGCCAACATCATTTCAGAGAAAAACTGAAAACATTTTCTCTAAAATCGGGAACAAGGCAAGGATAACCACTTTCCCACTTCTATTCAACATAGTTCTTGAAACTCTAACCAGAGTAATCAAGCAAGAGAAGGAAAGTGATGGGATACAAATAGGAAAAGCAGAAGTCAAATTATCTCTGTTTGCTGATGACATGATCTGTATTTAAAAGACCCAGAAAACTCCACCAGAAGATTTCTAGTACTGATAAATGAATTCAGCAAAACAGTAGGCTACAAGATCAACATATAAAAATCACTTTCCTATACTCCAATAATGAATCTGCTGAGAAACAAATCACGAAAAATAATATCCCATTCACAATAACCTAAAAAAAAAAAAATGCTTGGATTAAATCTAACCAAGGAGATGAAAGACCTCTGAAATGGAAACTGCAGAGAATATGGAAAAAAAGAAATTTCAAGGATGACTTTAGAAGATGGAAAGACCTCCTAAGTTCTTGGATAGGCAGAATTAACTTTATCAAAATGACCATATTACCAAAAGCATTACACAGATTCAATGCAATCTCCATTAAAATATGAATGGCATTCTTCACAAAATTATAAAAAGCAGTCCCAAAATTCCTTTGGAAGAATCAGAGACTGAGAATAGCCAAAGCAATCCTAAGCAAGAAGAGCTATGCCTCCAGCATCAAAATACCAGATCTCAAATTATACTACAGAGCTACAGTAACAAAAACAGCATGTTATTGGCTTCAAAACAGACTTGAAGACCAACAGAAGAGACAGAAACAAATGAACATAGATTTAGTTGTCTGATATTTGAAAATGTGCAAAAAAATACATTATGGAAAAGTTAGTCTTTTTAACAAAAGATGTGAGGGAAACTGTATAAAAGTATGTAGAAGAATGAAACTAGATATCTGCATTTCACCCTCCACAAAAGACAACTCAAGATGGAGCAAAGCCCTAGGAATTAGGCCAGAAACTGTACAACTGCTAGAAAAAACATGTAGACTTAATACTCCAGTATACTGGTATAGGCAACAACTTCCTTAACAAGACTCCTAAAGCCCAAGAAATAAAAACAAGGATCAATAAGTGGGATGGACATCAAATTTAAAAGCTTCTGCACAACAAAGGTAACGATTAATGAAGAGAGAGCCTACAGAAAGGAGATCTTTGCCATTTGCTCTTCCAACAGGGGATTAAATATTCAGGACACATAAAGAACTCAAAACTTAACACCAGAACCACAAATAACCCGATTAATAAATGGGGAAAAGAACTAAACAGACACTTCTCAAAACAAGAAATACAAATGGACAACAAATATAAGAAAATATATTCAACATCCTTAGAAATCAGAGAAATGCAAAATGAAACTAAACTGAGATTTCATCTCACTCCAATCAGAATGTCAATCAAGAACAGATAATAATAATAATAATAATAATAATAATAAGCATACAGGTGAAAAGGTACATTTAGATGTTTCTGGTGGGACTATAAACTAGTAAAACCACTCTCAAAAGCAGCATAGAGATTCCTCAAAAAGACTAGGAGGGGAACCACAGTTTGACCCAGCTACCCCACTTCTTGGTGTTTATCAAAAAGAACTAAACTCAACATACCATAGGAATACAAACACATCAGAGTTTATAGCAGCACAATTCACAATAGTCAAGTTATGGAACCAGCCCAGAAGAATGAATTCAGAAAATATGGTGTTTTGCTCAGCTATAAAGAATAAAGTAAGTATGACACTGACCGATTAAAAAGAAAATGGAAATGGAAAATACAATGCTAAGTGAAGAAATCCAGATTCACAAAGCCAAGGGTCAGAGTTTGCTCTCATATGTGGAAGATAGACCAAAATAAAGGGAGTAAAAGGGCAAATCCTATGAAAATAGTAGGAATATCAGTGGAGCAGAAAAAGGGGGTTGAGGAGGAGGGAAGAGAGACAGAAAATAAATGGAATGGTGGAATAAAATTGACCAAAATATGCTGCGTACATATATGGGTGTACCACAGTGAATTTCATTTTCATGTATATCCATAAAGCACTAATTTCTAAAATGCTGTAAATATAAAGAAAGAAAACCAGGAGAGTAAAAGAAGGGGGAGTGAAAAGGGTGGGAAAGGAGAAGTACTGGGGACTAAATCAGAACAAATTCTATTCCGTGCATGTATGAGGATGATGTCAAAATGAATCCCAATGTTATGTATAACTATAGAGCTCCCCAGGTTGGTTTGCATTTATTTTCTGGGCACACAGGAAAATTGCAATCCCAATTTGATTTGTAGTTAAAGCCAAGATCATGTGATTGTGTTCTGGCCAATGAGACAAGGACAAAAGGGAAGTACAAGATTTCTCTTTCTGTCCATAAAACGCCATAGACATCACCCATCCTCCTGCTCCCCTCTGCCAGGAAGTAGTGGCCCATGTAGAGGTGATGTGGCATCAAAAGAGAGAAGCAGCCTGCATTTCAGAGTCACTGCTTGGTGGAAGGAGAAAGCTACCCAGGAACTTGTTCTGCAATATGATCTAGCCTACCTCTAGTAATAGTCTGGAGCATTCATTTAAATATCAAACAAATGTTGAAAACCCAAAATCCAAACAGGCTGTTAAAAGCCAAGCAGAAACATAAGCCTCTAAAAGAAAAAAAATTATTGGGGAAATAATAATAAAATATGACATACTGCCAAATACAT